GGGGGGGGGGGGGGGGGATTGGTCCCATCGTTAGAAAATACAGAAGAAATAGTGTCCTGTACTGGTTCAAAAGGGGACAGAGCATTTTATTTTTCACTGTGGGACAATACTGTAAAATACAAGACTTACTCCAAATCTACCTTCAGAATAAAATGCTGCTGTAACAACCACAAAAAAATCGGGGGCCCCCGACAACTTGGGACTCTAGGCTACAGCCCCGGTTAGCCCCTGCATAAGATGCCTTTCCTCTTCCTCATTCTTGCTCGTTCGACTGTACTTTGTTTGTGTGACGAATCGCTGGAAGAAGGACAAGCAGTTACACTCACCCTCCTCTTTAATTTCATAAACTCGCCTCAGGTAATGGTGATTCAGCCGCCGGGACTGCGAGCTCAGTCACCGGGCTTCTCATTTGCTCCCATTTGACAATTTCAGGAATCTTCTCCGTGTCCCTAAGCTCTCGATACTATGTTTCGCGAGGCGAGGCACGGTAAATCATGTCTGAGACATCTTTTCGGCTGACGTCACCGAAAAACACGGAGCCGGTTCATCTGTCAGCGGGTGGGCAGGTTGCCGCGCTGAGTCAGACCCACCGATTCGGACTGCGGGGGCAGCATGTGGCAAAGCTACACTGACTAAATAGTTGCACCAGCACCATCTTACAAATACCCTCATGTCAATTTTGCTCCCCCCACATTTCTTGAATGCACTATAGGGCACCCTGGCCCTGGCAACGGAAGCTGCCCCCCCATACTGAAAGAATTGCCCTTTGTATCTGTAGCCAAAAAATACGGTGACCCCCATGGCCTGTAATTGCAAGACAGATAAAGCACTGGTCACGCAGGCCTGGCTCGTTTGGACAGAGTCTCTGTGTTTGGGCCCCGGGAAGCCTCCTCCCCCCGATTTCGCCTTGTACCCGTTAAATGCCTCTTGTTGAGCGACTCAGACAGCATCGACGCTGCCTGCCCACTCCTAGCAAAACTACGGTGCCATGATTTTAATCCGGGTTCTGTGGCAAGATTCCACCATCTTCACAACTGGACACAGCATAACATCTGGCTCCATATGCGAGCCAAAAACCATAACAGAGCATCTCTGTGGATGCAGGTACATGCCAAATCAATTGTGTTACACAGCTGTTGGTATTTGTACCTGTAACCTCTCCTGTAGCACCGATTATCACTCTGCTAATGAAACACCCCATGAATTAGACACCAGTTAGCAACATTCTGATTCTGGCAATTTCAAGCTAAAATGATTAGCGTTAAGGAGTTAAAGACCATTAGCATCTACACAGAATCGAGTACTACCATGAGTACTACTCGGAGTACTACCATGAATACTACTCAGAATAGCATCCAATCTGCAAACCAGACAATGCAAGCCAGCAGAAATACAGAAGCGATAGTATAAAGAGTGTCATATGGAACGTTCGATGGCCCACCATGTTGCTGTCTTTGTCATGTGACCTGCGGGCTGAAGTGCGGTCTGAGGGGATGGTGCTCACCTATAAATGGAATGGAAGCCAGGGAGTCATCCTGTAGGGTCAGTGGAGCCAGGCCCCCGTTTGTCCTGCGGGGGGCGTCCACAGACCTGGGGGTAGCAGTGTTAGGCCCTTCGCCCTGGAAGCCCAGGGCTTCGGCGGCCTCAGCAGGCAGGCCGTAATGTGGCTGCCGCTGGCCAGGAGGGCCGCGGCGACCTGTAGGTGGCTTCTGCCGCAGCACCACCTCCTGGACCTGCGAGTGCGGCTGCTCCTCCTCCCAGGGCCTCTCGTGGTTGGTAGGGCGATGTGTTCCATCGCGGGGTTCGGGAGCGGCAGGGGGGGCAGCGACGGTTTCCTGGGGGCTGGTTTTGGGGGTTGGGTTCCAGTTGAAGTGGGGCCCTGAGTAGGAGGGATCCCTGAAGGAGTGGGCCTGCATGAGGCGGCCGGCTTTGCGGTAGAAGGACGGGCTGTAGCTGCGGTAACCCACCGGCTGGTCGTCCGCACTCTGCAGGGGCAGCCGCCTAGGCTGGGATGCCGGGGGCTGCTCCTGTTGGTGCGACTGCCCACGTCCACTTGCCGGGGGCGCGGGCACGGCTCCGTAATGCGGCCCCTGCTGTTGGTAAACCTCAGTCCTGGGTGCAGGTGTTGGTGCCTGCTGCGGTGGCCAGGCAGGCCGATCCGGACGTGGAGACACCATAATTGCCGCCCGGTCCAGCATCTCCATTGAGCGGCCGTGTCGGTGGTATTTGGAGGCGAGAAGGTTCTCAGAGCGGGCGCGGCCCGAACGATGCTTGCTGGTACAGCCCCAATCCTCAGCCCAGCTGGAATCGCCGTACTGGCCCGAGTCCGGCTGCAGCAACAGGGTGTCCTGGGAGGTGCTGTGGGGCCAGCCCATGCGTTGACGACCCGGTGGCACTCCGACGCCCACCTCGCCCAGCCGGTCCTGGGAAATGCTCCGGTACCGGGGCGGCATCGAGGGGCCCCTGCGCTCAGGCACCTGGCTGTAGTACCAGTCCGTCAACGCCTGCTGCCGGACCTCGCTCCTACTCAGGGCCGCCTTTTGGGGGCTGGGCCAAGGCTGGGCGCCTACACGGGCCTGGGCAGTTGCGCCAATGTTGTGGTTTCCGTAGTAGCCATGTAGGGGACTAGCGTGCGCCGGTCCCGAGGAAGAGGGAGGGGACATGTGGCCCCGTGGCTGCCCCACGGCCTGCTGGGAGCTTACGCCGTATTGGACCTCCTCTGTGTGGTGGACGGGGCTGCCTTGATTCGGCCCCCGCAGCTCCAGGGCTGTGTCATCGAGCCAGCCGGCCGGGCTGGCCCTCCCTGAGCGGTTGTCCGGGGGGGAGGACACCCGGGCCGGGGCCAGCCTGCAGCCCCGTTTGTCTGTCTGGTTGTGCCCCATGTGCGACTGGGCCCTGCCGCGGGGGTAGCAGATGGGAGGAGGTTCTGGAAGGTCCTGAGCTTCGCCTGTGTAGGGCTCATTGCCACTCAGGTAGGCATCCTGGGAATATGCCTGCATCAAAGAAATTCCAATTAATAAGATTCTTTTATCAGGAATTTTTTCACAGATTTTTCATAAACATCAACCAGCAAACTTCAGAATATGGGTTCTTGTCCATAACCTTGCATCCATATGAACATTTTAACCTTGGGAGATTTATACTTCACCTTTGTATACAGCTGCACATCCACAAATTAGCAATTCAAGAACTACAGTTTATACTATAGTATAATATTGAGAAACTGAAGGTCCTCTTCTGGGGTCTCAAACCAGCAACTTCCAGGGTTCATATCTAGCAGGGTTCTGCATCACAGGCAATACTATGGGACACATCAACTGTAAGCAAGCGGGACTCTCCCTGAACCGGCCGCCCCATTCCCCCCCCCCTTGAATCCAAAACTCGGGCGGGACCCACTCTGTCCTCTCCCTCTCGCCCCTACATTCACATGGACCTGGAACAGTGTGTATTCGCTGCCATGGCGACTCACAGTTACCACGCAAAGTTACGAAAAAACAGCCGTCGGGAATGTATAAACCAGAGGGGGGGAATGTATAAACCAGAGGGCCTCCCGCCCCCACACTGAAGTCGGTCTGTTTACCTCCGTGGCTGAGCGACGGCTGTCGAGAGACGGCTAAGAGTGCCGGTGAAGGAGGAGGCCAAGATGGTTGACTAACCCCCAGTGCCTTCGCTGTTACTTGCGTGCTGCGTCTCCCTTGCTTCTTCCCTTTCTTCTCACCCTTGTCTTCCCCTCTTTCTGTCCTCTCCTTCTTCCTCTCACTGTCTCTCGGTCTCACACGTACTCCTGCATGGCCTCCCCCAGCGCGGTTGCCCCGCCTATCTGACTCAAGCCATCTCCGCCCAGACAGAACATAGGAGGAGCTACAGTAACCCTCAGGAATGTGGCTGAGGCAGGCGGGAAGCAGTGTGGGGGGGGAGTGGTGGTGAGAATTAGGCAGTGCAGTCTATGAGCTTTTGGGGGGGTAAACACGCCGTCATGTGTCCCAGTCATGGGTTGCCGGGGGTATGTTGGGTATGTATGAATGACACAGACAGCAGATGAGAGGAATGTGTGTGGGACTGCATCTCTGTGCATATTTTTCTGCCTGTTTATGAGCACAGTTGCACCATCCTGTGCCTCACATTTCCTGTGATCGCTTGGCTGTTTCTCTGGATGTCCATCCCTGTCCGTCCGCTGCTGGCTGCTGTACCCGCATGTGTATTGCTGGGCCATGCGATGGCGTGACACTCGAGCTCCCCGACAGCCCGCTCCTAATGCACTGGTGGATACCGGCTCAGTTTTTCTGCTCCCCCCCCCCCCACTGCCAGCTCTGAGAAGCTAAATATAAATGGCATTGTTTTGATCTCAGACACAAACACACAAATTTGCAATATCCATTAGTTGTAATGACTCTGGAATGAGGGACTATGAAAAATAGGCTGTGGGAGGAAGAATGTTTATGAGTATTTAGTAATGCCGTTCGGCTTCGTGTACGTGAGCGTGTGTTTGTGAGCGTGTGTTTGTGAGCGTGGGAGGGTGAGGTGGGGAATTGAAGCTATGTGTGTGTGACTATGCATGTCAGCGTGTGTGTGAGCTGTCCGTCATATAATCGGCAGCAATCCGTGCGGGGGGAATTATGGAGAGAACATTACCGAAAGGAGAACAACTCCCAGACAAAAGACTGGGAGACACCCTTCGAAACACATTAAAGACACATAAAGCACCAAAGTGGGGCGAGGCTCGGAACCGGGAAGTGAACTGATGCGGAAGTCAGAGGGAATTCCTCGGAAATGTTGAGATGCATATGCGTGATAGACTGTTTGTGTGAGTATGGTGTGAGTATGGTGGAGTGGGTGAGCTACTCACCAGCTGCAGTACGTCTTCATCTCTGGGCATAATGGACAACTCCAGGACACTCTCGCTGTGGGAGTGAGACATTCAGACGGGGGGTGGGGGGGGGGGGGGGGGGGGGGGGGGGGGGG